TCTAGATACGCCACTGACTTACTGGCCAGATGCTGTCTCTTATACACATCTAGATGTGTATAAGAGACAGGCCGTAACACTGTTTTATCAATGCCGTGACCAGAATTCTAACCTGGGTTGCGGCCACAACGGAATGACTAACCACTACCGTAAAATACCTGTCTCTTTAAAGGGATAATAAATGAATTAAGATCAAGAAAAGTAAAAATTACCGTAATGAGCATCAGGAACGCCCATTAGGCCGGAGTCCAGCCCATTTCCAATGAGGTCCAATTTAAATATACACTGTCTGCCTTGAGCTGAAAGATAAAATATTTAATTCCATAACTGAATAATTATATTTAAGCAAGTCACAAACTTACAATTAAATATATGAATGACAAAATTGTTTTCCTGTCAATTAGCAGACAGTTAAATTATACCAGTGCTGTATTCTTATTTATACATAGACTCTTTAAATTGGCTGGTAGTGTCGATTTAAGGATTTTGTATTAAAATGTTCGTAAAATCAGGATGTCGATAGGGGGCTACAAAAATTCTGATCGGGGTCTAAAACAAGGGGATGCCTAGAGCCTTGTTCAGGGTCCCAGAATAAAATCCCTGGGGTGTGGTTCATGGGGAGAAATTTCTAGATCCGTCACTAGTAGCTATATTTGATATCGACATTATGGAGGTACACATTCATGAAGATATTAGTATCAATATTGACGGTGTCATTTGGGCCTACCTCTATCACTTTCGCTGTCCTTTAAAAATCATATAGAAAATATTTTTGTCGGGCTATAACAAATTATTCAAGATTAAAAGTTGTGCACCAGATAATAATAAGATTTTTAGTAATAAATTTCATGTCAATAAAAAAAAAAGATACGAATCTACAACGTAAACAACGAACGGAAGTTAACAAGCCCCAAACTTTAATTACTGTAAATAACATTTCAGGTATTTGATGGTTTTAGCGAGTCACTCGGAATATATGTGTTGTTGTTGAATAGAATGTAGCCATGTTAGTGCATGCTTCTGCCGTGGAAACTGTAAATGACTTCAATGCCTAACAAACTTAGTAAAAACAATAACCATAGAATGACAAAATTTCAAATTAACTATTGAATTAACGATGCAAAATGTTCAATACTGTACTCACATTTGTTATTAATTGTAAAGTCTCCTTCGTAGTCTTTCAACTCCATTCAGTATTGTTAATATGCAAAATGCCACCTGGAGTGGTATAAAAAAAAACCAATTCATTATTCTTTTTCTAATGCGCCATTCCTTTATGACGATGAGGATGATGAGGGTTATGATGATATTGATAATAATAATAATGATGATTATAATGATGCTGATGATGATGATGATGATGATGATGATGATGATGATGATGATGATGATGATGGTGATGATGATGATGATGATGATGATGATGATGATTATTATGATGATGATGATGATGATGATGATGATGATGATGATGATGATGATGATGATGATGATGAAGATGATGATGGCGGTGATGATAATGTCGATGATTGTAGGATAAGATTCAACTTAAAAAAACGACTCCGGTGGAATCAGTATATAGGCTGTTATGTGACACTTGGAAGTATTAATGGTCAAGCCGGCACTACTTAGGCCACCCTACTTGCAATCAAAATGTATCACCCTTTTAAAGAGGGACATTCATTTATGTAAAGTATGCATGTGCTATTTTCCAGCAGAGGAGCCATTTTGTCAACCATGGTGAAGTTAAGATGGGTAGAATCAACAAACTGTTGTGTTCACCCCTTGAGGGACCGGGTAGTGGCTCTACTGGTTATCAGAATGGGCACAGATCATGGGGGAAGGGGACAAGTCCCCCACAAAGGGGGTATTGGTCCCACTCACTTTTCGACCGCAATGTAATTTCACAAATAAAGAAGATGCCTGAAAGTTGTTAAATTGAACAGCATAATTGACCCAGGTTTTAACGAAAGAGCTAACAGCTAAAGTAGAGTACAGTACATGTTATAGCAAGATTCCGGTATCTCTGCCCATCTGCATCTAAATTATCTGCAATACACGACTCGAATGCGCGTGCCTTCCTTTATTAACATTTGAGAAGTATGAGAAAAAGTATAAGATTGGTTTTCGACACACGAATTAGGTAAATTAAAGTAAATACATCAAAGACAATTAAGTTTTATTTTCTATGGTACAATACAGAAGTTAATTAGATCTCTATTATTGCCGAAAATTGCAGATAAAAGATCATGGTGGTGTGATGATGATGAATTTCACTATATAAGACCATGGAGGAATTAAGAGTGTCATTTCTTGAAGTATTATTCCCCAATCACGATGGGGCTGAGGAGGGTGTAAATACACCAAGGACAATGTATTATGTTTTATTAGATCTCTAGGCTATGGTTGACGAAAATCGAGTACAAAAGATCTAAATTATTTGGCGCTTCATTTTTACTATAATGGTGATGTGCTGATGACGAATTTTGCCATATAAAAGTGACATTTCCGGCCATCTAGCGGTACTATATTTCCCACAATTTTCGCACCTCAACCACAACCACGGCTGGAGGGGTGTGGACTCACATCTTATCGTTGAATTGATGAAGTAAAGTAAATAGGTATACATCAAAGATATTTAAAACAAATCTTACTGGTATTTTCTATGGTCTCATCACACATACTAATGACTATGGTTGCCAAAAATCGATGATAAAAGTTCATGAGAAATTTGCTGGCGCTTCATTTTTACTATAATGGTGATCTGATGATGAATTTTACTAAAGAGTGTAATTTTTTGCCATCTAGAGGTAGGCCTAATATTTCCTCAAATTTTCGCTGAGGTTTGTATCTCCCCCCCCCCCCCCCATCCCGCTCTTATAATGGCGGGACCACTTTCAAAATGCTTCCGACGGCTATGTTAAGAAAGGGAGACTAAAAGATACAATGAAACCGACTTTTAGAGTTTCGGCAGCGCGTCGGTCCCTTAATCTGAAGGACGTGAGTCTTCATTAGGAATTAATTATTCACTTTTTTAAAACCTAAATTTGTTATCAAATTATTAATTATTTTAATATATAATTTTAAAGGAGTCAATAGTGGTATAATACACATAAAATATTTAAAAAATACCTCTAGATGAAGTTAAGTAACTTGTATTGCCTAATTAATGAAAAAACATTAATGAATAAAAAGGACAGTTGCTGTGTCCGTGACCAGGATTCGAACCTGGGTTATTACGGTCACAACAATGTACTAAACACTATACGATCACGGCGCGCTATTTGGTCCTGCAAATTGGACCAATCTTTGCTAATTCACGGAAGAATACTCATAATAATGAATATAATAATAATAATAATAATAATAATAATAATAATAATAATAATAATAATATTAATAAATTATAACAAATAATAATAAACACATAAATTAAATGAGCTCTCTGTAAATATAATTATGTAACTTGATGAATAGATTCATTAAGAAAATGTTAATAAATATAAAAAGGCCGGGGACGGCAACTCGATTCTGAGATTAATTTTCCGAATAAAGTTATACTAAATAACTTCTAATGACGAACTATTGTCTTCAGTTGTCTTTGTTGGTCATTTAACTGTCATCACGCAATGTATTAACCTCTATATAACAACGACGCGCTACTTCAGTCCAGGTTTGGACAAAACTATGAAGTCTAACATTTAATAAACCATGGAAGATCCCCCCACCCCAATCATATTCACTACTTATATTTTTTTTATGATATAAGCTTTTGAAAGAGTGGCAAACCTACAAGTAATGCTTACTAGTAAATATATAGGACAATACAACAGTTCTTTGATCCAAGTCTTATGTAAAAAGAATATATACGCATAAACATACAGTGTGTACCTAATACAAACACACGAAAACAATGAATCTTCTGTAGATTCAAAACATTGGTAAAGAAGTTTTCATCATTAAAAATAGGGAAATATGGTTTTGAATATAGAAATATGTATCAGAAAAAAAATAATACACCAATAATTATTTGTGTAACATTAACAAATAACATTAGGCCATGATTTAACGAAAAATATTTTAAGTGTAACATGATTTAGGGTTTTGGTAATGTTAGTAAGTAACCGTGCTTGTTAAAAAATTGATCACAAATTTTAAAAAAATGATCAAATTCAATGTAATTCATTGCATATTGAATGGGTTACAAGAGTTTTAGATATTTAGCCAGGAATAAAAAGAAACATGTAATCAAATAAATACTTAGTTATTTCATTCATTTATTCATTCATTCATTATTTAGCCTAAAATATACATTTACAAAAGCAATGAAAATTGGACAAGCAACAAATTTTACAATATTATCTAAAGTTGGCTATGATTGGTAATAGTTATGAACACTCTAGCCCAAAAAGCCAACGAATCCGGTCTTAAATAGAACAGATATATACATACAATTTAAATAAAATAGCTAAGGGGAACTACTTAAGAAATCATATATACTCTTCAAACTAGAAATCAGAAAAGAAAAATAAAAAACATTAGTAAACAATAAGAAAATCATTTGAGAAGCAAAAAATGGAAGAGGAATTCAAAAATTAACAAGTATATCTACACACGACTCCATGCAGTTGCCTCCTTGGCGCAGTCGGCAGCGCGTCAGTCTCATAATCTGAAGGTCGTGAGTTCGAGCCTCACAGGGGGCACTGCCTTTGTATTTTATTTTCATATTGTTATTGATTATGTGATCAACGTAAACCTAAATTTTCTATAAAATTATCCATTTTTAATATTTAATATTACAAGGTGTTACGGTACTAATGACAAAATCCACATAAAGTTTTTAAAATACATACACCTCTCGCTAGAAAAAGTTAAGTAACTAGATTTTATTTCCAAACGCATTATGAAAAAAATAATTTAAAAAAAAATACCATTGCCGTAACACTGTTTTATCAATGCCGTGACCAGAATTCTAACCTGGGTTGCGGCCACAACGGAATGACTAACCACTACCGTATAATACTTGGCCTGATGTAAACTGGACCAAACACAATGAAGTTGATCTTTAGTAGTAAACCATGAATGATTTTATCTCACTTTGTTCTTCCATGAAACATACATACACCTGTAGTAGCTTGGGGTTGAGGTTTATATCAATGACTTTTCCTTTGAACACAATTATACCGTAGACATTATTAGAATGAACGTTTCTTCGAATAAATTCTCCTTCTCTAGAGCCTCTTTCGAATAAACACCCCGGGCGTTTATTTTTTTGCTCTAATTGACTGTAAACAAATTTAATGAAAACAACATTATTTTCAACACATTCTATTAATTTTCTACTCCAGTAGATTTACATTTATTCTAACCTGTGCTACACCCCGAGTCTTTATGGTCTCGCAATGACATTAAAAAAAATATGTGTTGTAGTTTCACATTTACAGTGAAATTAGGGGGCGATTATTTGAGTATTCGTGTCAATATTCACACCCCCCCCCCCAATATTCACCCCCCCCCCCCCCCACACACACACAAATTAAACGCCTCCCTTGGATAAACTTTGGCCTCGAAAAAACCCTTCTCAACAATAATTAAAGTGCACCCTCTAATTCGAGACCATTTTCAAAACCAACACAATTTTAATTTATTATATTATGAAATGGCAGGAAAAATCTTTAACAAATTTAATATTGTAAATTTGTTTTGACTACATTATTATTATTATTATTATTATTATTATTATTATTATTATTATTATTATTATTACAAGCCAAGAAATACATTATTTGATAAGTTAAAATAGTAAAACAGTAAAAAAGTCATAATAAAAATCACTGTTTAAAATTTACTATGTGTACTTCAGATACAGACCAGTCACTTTAACAAAAATTAAACCTATCAAAATAACTAGCGTTTTTGCTATATGTTTTTGCCTTTATAATTAAAAACAAGTTAGG